AACGCTTTGGCATGACCGTTTATGTCACCCGAGCGACTCCATATTATCTATTCTTCAGTAAAATAAACTAATTACTTGTAATAGTCCATCTAAGTCTACTACTTGTCAATCTTGTGTACTGGGAAAACATATTCGGTTGCATTTCGTTCTTTCAACTTCTCAAACTATCATGCCTTTTGATATTATTCATAGTGATCTTTGGACCTCTCCGATTTTGAGTTCTTTGGGATATCGTTATTATGTGCTTTTTTAGATAATTATTCAAAATTCTTGTGGACTTTTCCCATTGCTAATAAATCACAAGTATTCTCTATTTTTACTAAATTCCAAGCTCATATTCGTACCCAGTTTGAACGAGATATCAAAACCATACAATGTGATAATGGGGGAGAGTTTGATAATGCCTCTTTTCGGCAATTCTGTGAGTCCCATGGCATTTCTTTTCGTTTCTCCTGCCCTTATACCTCCTCACAAAACGGGAAGGTCGAACGAAAAATAAGATTCATTAATAATATCATGCGCACACTACTTATTCATACCTCTTTGCCACAATGTTTTTAGCATCATGCGGTTCATATGGCAACCCATCTTTTGAATATTCTTCCCAGTACACTACTAGCCTCTACGTCTCCTCTACAAATTTTATACCACCGGGTTCCGTCTTATTCTTACATTCGGGTTTTCGGGTGCTTGTGTTATCCTCTTATTCCATCCATGACTATTCATAAATTACAAGCTTAATCCACTCCCTGTGTTTTCTTGGGTTATCCCGATAATCATCGAGGCTATAAGTGTTTTGATTTATCCAACAATAAAATCATAATCTGTCGGCATGTACAATTTGATGAAACTATCTTCCCTTTTGCCAAAGTCCATCAACCTAGTACAGTTGATTATGATTTTTTGAATGATGGTGTGTCGCCGTATCTTCTTCATCAAAGCCAACAACAGCCTCCACTATCTTCTCCTACGGCACAACCAGTCATGTCTTCTCCAGCCTCTCACTCATTGTGAGTAGACAGTTCGCAGTCTCATCTCCTCCAAAATCCTCACTAATTTGGCCCAAACCGCCCCCTGTTCTATTTGAACGCCCTGTCACCCGCAGCCAGCATGGTATCTTTAAGCCAAAAACTATATTTGACCCATCTGAGGCGCATACTATCACGGTTAAGAGATCTCCTCTCCCCCGTAACCCTGTGGCTGCACTTCGTGACCCGAATTGGAAGTTGGCTATGACTGACGAATATGACGCTCTTTTTAAAAATAAGATGTGAGATTTGGTACCCCGCCCTCCTGAGTTAATGTCATTCGTTCTATGTGGATTTTTACTCATAAAATAAAGTATGATGGTTCGTTTGAGAGGCATAAGGCCCGTCTTGTAGGTGATAGTAAAACTCAGCGTGTTGGTATTGATTATGAAGAGACTTTCAGTCCGGTAGTGAAGCCAGTAACAATTCATAATGTGCTTAGTCTTGCCCTGTCGAAACAATGGTTGATTCATCAGTTAGATGTAAGCAATGCTTTTTTGCATGATGACCTCAAGGAAACGGTTTATATGCATTAGCCTATGGGATTTCGAGATCAAGTGCATCCTGATTATGTCTGTTTACTGCGTAAATCTCTCTATGGACTCAAACAAGCCCCTCGGGCGTGGTACAAGAGGTTTGCTGATTTTGTTTCTTCTATTGGTTTCTCTAACAGTAAATCAGATATTTCCTTATTTCTTTACAAACACGGGTCGGATATGGCATACCTACTGCTTTACGTTGATGACATTATTTTGACGACGTCTTCTAAGCATCTCCGTAAGTCTATAATGGCTCATCTCAACTCTGAGTTTGCTATGAAGGATTTGAGTTTCTTAAACTATTTTCTCGGCATCAGTGTGACTCGACACAAAGGTGGGTTGTTTTTATCACAACAAAAATACGCCGAGGGCATCATTGATTGAGCATGCATGCATTCTTGTAAGCGCAGTCAGACTCCAGTTGATACCAAGCCGAAGGTGAGTGCCACCAGCGGTGCATGGTATACTGATCCAACGCAGTACCACAGCCTTGCGGGTGCCCTCCAATATGTCACTTTTACGCAATCGGATATTTCCTCTGCAGTTCAATAGATTTGTCTCCATATGCATGACCCTCAGGATGAACATATGAACGCTCTCAAGCGTATCATCCAGTATATCCAAGGTACTCTTTCTCTTGGTTTACATATTTCTTCTTCCTCCATTATCGATCTTGTCTCTTATACGAATGCGGATTGGGGAGGCTGTCCCGATACTCGACGATCCATCTCCTGGGTATTGTGTCTTTTTGGGTGACAATTTGATCTCATGTTCGTACAAACGTCAACCTACGCTTTCCCGATCAAGTGCCGAGGCAGAATACATGGGAGTTGCCAATATTGTCTCGGAATCTTGTTGGCTTCATAATCTTCTTCTCGAACTCAATTGTCCCATCCATAAATCAACAATGGTTTACTGCGACAATGTGAGTGTTATCTATCTTTCTGGAAATCCCATTCAACACCAGCATACGAAGCACATTGAAATGGATATTCATTTTGTTCGAGAAAAAGTTGTGCAGGGTGAGGTTCGTGTTCGTCATGTGCCGTCTAGGTACCAGATTGCATATATTTTCACTAAGGGGTTGCCCCTTATATTGTTTGACGATTTTCGGACCAGTCTTAACGTTCGAGATCCTCCCGTTTCGACTACGGGGGAGTGATAGACTTGGAAATATTCTCCAAATATTTTGTATTTACTGTTGTATATTTAGTTTCCTAAATTATAGCCTAATTACTAAATTATAGCCTAATTGTTAGGATTGTATCTACTAATGATGTGTATATATTGAACCCCTGTGGTAATGAGAAAGGCACAAAATTATATTCTTTCAGTTTTTAGCTTGGGTCGTTCGTAGAGCACCATCATAGCAGGAGTTTCAACAGCTCTTTAAGAGTATTTTACTGTAGATTTAGTGGGAATATGTATGTGTAGAACCTTCCTCAAGAATTTAGATTTATAACTTCAAGTTTGTATTGTTCTTTCAGTACCGATACTGAAAGACCATAATGTCCTATTTTGGGCACGAAAATGCCTCTAAATCTCACCCATACACTTTCCTAAGACTAGAAAAGCTTGTTAAAGTCTTATTTGAGGTCTTAAAGGTTAAAAGTTATCATCTTTCATGCTTACAACCAACAAAAATGGATCTTGCCATGGAATTACTCTAGCATTCTTACATGAACAAAACATACCAAAATACACAACAATGACCTACATACAGTATGGTCAACTTAGAATTGTGTTACCTTGAAACTAGGTGACTGAAACACAATCTCAAATCACCTATGGACTAATTTTTCATTTCCTCTAGGCTTTGAGCTCTCCTCTTGCTCTCATACTAATCAAAACAAGTTTAATGAGTTGTTAGTTAATTTTAAATCTTAGAAACAAGCCAAAAACATTTCCTTACAACTTAAATCTCCTAAAACAACCTAGAACTTAGGATTTCATAAACCCCCACTAAAACTCATTTTTGGCTAACTAAGTCAAATATTAAAAAAAATAGGTTTGAAAGAAAGCTTGAGGGATGAAGATTGTGAATCTTACCTTAAATTCACAATGGAGGCTTGAATTTCTTAAAGCTTCTCACTTTGATTGGTTCTTGAAGAGAGAGGAAGACAAAGAGAATAAAGGAAGAAGACGAGCATGAGATGAAAAATAAAAGGGTACAACAGAAGTAATATCATCAAATAATTAAAGGGTTTCAACCTTTGTTTGAATAATTAGGTTAATTACTCATTTAGTCCTCCCACTTTCATGCTAAGGTTAAAAACACCTATTTTAAAACTTATTGGGCTCATCTCAATACCAAATCTATCTCAATTGGGTCCAATGCTTTATAAACTAAGGAAAATTTATTCTATTGCCCAATCAAATAAACCCAAAACTCCTAACGTGTATTTTGGGCCATTACAACTTTCCTCTACTAAGAAGAAATTTCTTCCTCAAAATTTACATGGATAGAATAGGTGTGGATAATGAAGTTGCATATCCTCTTCAGGTTCCCATGTCGCCTCTTAAACGCCATAGTCCTCTGTAAAACTTTCACTAATGGTATCCTCTTGTTTTGTAAGTCCTTATCATCTTTGACAAGGATTCAAACCTATTCTTCCTCATAAGTAAGATCTTATCTTACTTCAACTTGTTTGAGGGGAATAACATAGGATGAATCAAATCGGTATATGTGAACCATAGAGACGTAGTACACGTTATTAATGCGCTTTAACTCATGAGGTAAAGCTAACCGATAAGCCACTAGCCCAACTCTCTCCAAAACCTTATGGTCCGATGAATCGTAGGGTCAACTTACCCTTACGTCAAAACCAGAGTGCCTTTTTCCATAGGGAAACCTTGAGAAATACCTTATCTCTTACTGCAAACTCTATGTCCTTACGTTTCAGATCGGCGTATGACCTTTGTTTCTTAGAAACCTCCTTCAGACGACTTTAAATCAACTAAACTTTCTCTTTGGTTTCTCAGATCAAGTCGGGGCCTACACTTGCACCCATATAAGGCTTCATACGGATCCATCTGAATACTTGGCTGAAAACTTTTGTTGTACGTGAACTCTACCAAGGGCAAGTGATCCTCAATTGCCCTCAAGATCCAAAACAGTGCATCTAAGCATATCATCTAAAATCTGAATAACTCTCTCAGACTGCTCGTCTATATGAGGATGAAAGGTTGTTCTATAAAGTAGTTTGGTACCTCAGGCTCCATGTAAATCTTTCCAGAATTGAGAAATAAACTGCATATCTCTTTCGAAATGATCAAGATAGGAACTCCATGCAATCTCACAATCTGGTGGATGTACAACTGAGTCACTCTCTCTAACGTGAAGTTGATTCGAACCAAAAAGAAATGAGTGGATTTGGTCAATCAATCCACTATAATCCAAATTGCATTATGTTAGAACCTTATTATCAGATGGTCAATTACAAAGTCCATCATCACTCTCTCTCATTTTCACTACGGAATATAAAACAGTTGCAGCAATCGTGAGAGAACCTGGTGTTATTCCCAAACACTTAGCAACAAACTCATACACTTCTCTCTTCATGCCTGACCACCAATACAATGGGAAGAGTTCTTGGTACATCTTGTTGCTACCCGGATAAATAGAGAGGGGCCTACAATATGCCTCATGAAGGATCCTATCACGAAGTTGTCTGTCAGCTGGCATGCACAAACAACCTCAGAAGTACAACACATATCCTTCACATAACTCAAACCTTGGAGCCTCACTTTGAAGGACTTACTATACTTGGGTCTTCAAACAGACTTCTGAACCTTGTAACTGCTTAACTTTTCCCAGTAACTTGAGCTCAACCCTCAACTCAACTAAAAGACAACCTGAATTAGTCAAACTCAAACGTACTAGCAAAGCTCATAACTCCACTACGGTCTTCCCACTCAATACATTTGAAACGATATTTGCTTTGCCCGGATGATAATCAATGACACAATCATAGTCTTTCAAAAGTTTTACCTATCTTCGATGCCTCAAGTTCAACTCCTTCTGAGTGAGCAGATACTTAAGGCTCTTGTGATCCACGAAGATGTGACATTTATCCCTGAAAAGGTACTACCTCCAAATCTTTAAAGCAAAACCATTGCTGCAAGCTGCAAATCATGGGTAGGATAGTTTCGTTCTTGATGCCTAAGTTTTTGGTATGCATAGGCTGCAACCTTTCCTTCTTTATTCAGAACACATCCCAAACCATTTTGTGATGCATCAATGAATACGGTAAAGTCTATACCCGATTTCAGTTGTATTAAAATGGGGGCTTGCGCGAGGATTTCTTTTAATTTATCAAATCTCTCTTGGTGCTTCTCGTTCCATATAAAAGGAACTCCTTTCTGAAGTAGTTTAGTTAATGGTGCTAAAATCATGGAGAACCCTTGACGAAAAAATGGTAGTACCCTGTAAGGCCTAAGAAACTACGTACCTCGGTGATATTATTAGGTGGTTGACACTCTAACACTGGATTGATCTTTTGGGGATCTACTTGGATGCCATTGGTTGCTACCACATGACCCAAAAATGCCATTTCAATTAACCATAACTCACACTTCCCAAACTTGGCATATAACTAACGTTCCCGAAGTGTCTGTAAAATGATGTGCAGGTGCTGATCAAGCTCTTCCTCACACAAGAGTACACAAGGATATCATCGATGAATACCACTACAAATCGATCCAAGTATGGGTGAAAAAATCATTTCATCAAATCCATAAATGTCGCCAGGGCATGGGTGAGTCTGAATGGTATCACGATAAACTCGAAATGGCCATGTCTTGTCTTGGAGGTGATCTTAGCTATATTTGTATACTTAACCTTCAACTGATAGTACCATGATCTCAAATCAATCTTAGAGAACACATATGCGCCCTTAAGTTGGTCGAACAGATCATCTATGTGAGGGAAAGAGTATCGATTCTTGATAGTTAACTTATTCAGTTATCGATGGCCGATGCACAACCTCATCGACCTATCCTTTTTCTTGACAAAGAGGACCAATACTCCCAAGGTGAAACGCTTGGTCGAATGAAGCCCTTATCCAACAACTATTAAATTTGGTTCTTAATTTCCTTCAACTCTGTCAGTTCCATGTAATAGAGTGCAATGGACACCGGACATGATCCTGGAAAAAATTCTATACTGAAATCACCTCATGGTCAGACAGTAGTCCCAGCAACTCATCTGGAAACACATCAAAGAACTTCTGCATGGTACAAATGTCCTCAAGCAACGAAATGAAAACTAATGTATCCACAACATGTGCCAAGAAGTCTTCACACGCCTGACTCGACAATCTCTAAGCCCTGATTACTGAAACAACCTTTGTAATGTAACCCAAACTCCCACTGGTCAATACTATCTTGGTCACATCATCCTTACGAAGCTTAAGTTATCTAGCCTTGCACTTCAAACTTGTGTAATGCTCAGAGAGCCAATACATGCCTAAATCACATCGAACTTCTGAAATAGTAATTTAATTAAGTCAGCTAAGAATACCTCACCCTGAAGTTCTATTGGACAACGACAGTGAACCTGTTCAACTAAAACGTCTAATCCTATAGGATTAGACACTCTGACCCTTCCAAATCCTGAGTTGGATATTCCTCTCTCAGAAAAGTTCATAGCATATATAGGAGTGATTGGAACCATGATCTACTAATACAGTACTTAGAATGGAAATAACTATAAATATACCTGAGATCACATCTGTAACATTGCACTCTTACTGGGCGCGTATGACATATTGGTGTGATATTACTCGGGGCTCATGGATGGAATTTGATCTGGCGGTGCCCCAGCTATAATGTCCTAAAGGCTCTGCTACTCGTAGAAGACCTTCGACCACACTGAACAAATGATAAAGACCTATAAGATGATACAAGGACTGAACTCTAAGCACGGAGGCAGGCTCTGATGAAAATGTCCAAGAACCCACAGTTAAATCAACCTCTAGTCACTCGATAACACTCTCTGGGGTGCCTCCTACCACAAGTCAGGCACACCAATAATTTGGTGTCTTCTATGATCTGTCGGCACTATATCTGGAAGCTGACAATAAGGCTCTCTTAAAGGAATCGAATCTACCTCCATTGTTCGATCTCTGAGTTGTCTTTCTAGACGGGCCTAATGGCAATCTCCTTAAACTCTAGGGGGCCCTGGCCTGCTTAGCTGATGACGAGATGGCCTACAGTTTCTAGAGCTCTACGGCTCTAACCCACTGAGTCACTCACCACCTGAGCTTTCTTTAGAAAATTCTCTCAACTAATTATTCCTGGTGAATTAGCTCCACAAAAATACAAGGGGTTTGGTTTCTAACTGAGTCTCAATATCCAAGTGGAGGCCCTCCAAGAAAATGGTACACCTCCATTTAAATGAGCTCATGCACATACTTGCTCATCCTAATAAACTCCTTCTCATACTCCAATACAATCCTAACTCCCTAAGTCAGATGCAGGAATTGGTCGCGGAGATTGTTAGTGTGTGCCTCATCGATGTACTTCTCACGAAACTCTACCCTGGTTCTATCGCTAATTTATTATCTCTCACCAGTCTATTATGTAATAATTCAGAAGGTAGTGATGCAGTCTAACTTGCCCTCAGATGTGAGGTACAACAGACGAAGAATATGGAGTTTCTCTCGGAGCCACTGGTCTGTAGAGATGGGATCTTTGTCTCAATATCCATAAAAATAGATGGTCCAGTACCTGCAGAGCCTGTCAACAGGGGACTCTTGATGCCTTACAGTGGGTTGGACGGTGGCACAAGAGGGGAGGTGGCATAGAGGATAGATTCAAAATGGCACGAACTATCTAACTAAGGGTTGAAGTCATATAGCGAAAAAAGTCACCTCGTCAACTATTGCATATATAGGTGCTTAATGATCAGAATCAGGGGTGTATTCTCACCAAAATCTCTAGCTACGGAGGTACGACTCTCCTCTAGGCCCTCATAACAAGGAAAGTCATCATCAGCCATATTCGAATCCTGAGATTAGAAAGGAAAGAGAGGTCACTATCGCCATTCCAGAATATTATGTATTCTTGATACTCTAAGGGCATGTACTCAGTTAGACACTTACTAAATCTGATCCATGGGGCATAGCAATGACTAAACCTAGTTGCTCTGATACCAAAAAATATAATACCCTAATTCAGTCTGGCTCAAAGATCTATGGATTACTATGCATACAGAACCATGAAATTAATAACCTAAAATTTTTCTTTCCAAAACGTTTATAACATTAAAACATTCATCATAACGTAACTAAAAGCATACTTCAAGTTTACAAAACTTACGGAAGTCTCCCAAATTACATACAAAATACATCAATTAAATTTGAACCAAAAGATTTATGACTTGAATAATACAAGGTCCATATACGATACATGCCTTCTAAATATACTTAATACATATTCTAATACTGTCTAGTCTGGAATGTACTGATATGATAGGCTCCTCAACAATCCCCTACTAACCTACGCACGAAAACACATTTCATACACTGAGCTCACAAGCTGAGTGCCACAAAATTAACAATACAATACTACATGCATTCATTTTATAAACATGCTTGTATGCAACTCTTAAACATGCAAAAACATATACCAAACATGGATGAGCCATGTGGTATAATTGGAGGAATTTACATGCATCTCGTACTACACACTAGCTTATCTAAATATGACATCTTAGGGGTAAGAACCAAAATTTACGTTTATCGAAAATTATATCCCTTAGTCTACCTCGGATCTTCAAAAAGTTGGGGTAAGTTCTGAAATTTATGTGCATTAGAGGCTTATATCTTGAACCTAGTCGAGTATAGGGTACAACTCCTGAATTTAAATGCATCAGAATTCATACTGGTACGACCTGGAATTTACGTGCATCAGATGTGTATCAAATAGATAATATTCAGATATTCACAAACAAAGGATGATCGTCATCATGCTAGAATAACTCGGGTGTCCTAGCCATTTCCCAAGCATCATACAGAGACAATTCTTATGTCATCATATCTTACTTGATTTCTAGGTGAGAATTGAGTTAACTTAATTGTTTTCACTTGCATTGAACAGTTAAGGATTATAAGAACCCAAAACACCTTAGCCCGAACACCCAAACAAACTAACCAAAATTGCCCAAAAATTATTGTGGCACAGTATTGATATCATACCCTTAAGTATCGATACCCCTATAGGGAGTATCAATACTTTGCCCTGGGTATCGATACTCCCATGAGTATCGATACCAAATTTGACTTTGATGTTTTCAAAAATATCTAACTATCGATATTTACCCTCTGAGTATCGATATTGGACCCCGAGTATCGATACTCCTTGAAGGGGTATCGATATTACCCTCATAACATGCTTGGTTTTTGCCTTCATAAAGAACAATATGGATATTATTCTTCCAGTACCGATATCGACAAACCAAAATACCCTGTTTTGGGCGCAAAAATGCCTCTAAATCTCACACATACACTCCCTTAAGATTAGAAAATCTTATTAAAGTATTACTTGAGGTCTTTGAGGTTAAAAGTTATCAACTTTCAAGCTTACATCCAACATAATGGATCATTCTATGGAATTACTCTAGCATGCTTACATGAACAAAACATACCAAAATGCACATAAAATGACCTAAATGTAGTATGGTCAACTTATAATCGTGTTACCTTGAAGCTAGGTGACTGAAACACGATCTCAAATCACCCAATGACTAATTTTTCCTTGCCTCTAGCCTTTGAGCTCTCCATTTTCTCTTGCACCAATCAAAACAAGTTTAATGAGTTCTTAGTTCATTTTAAACCTTAGGAATGAGTCAAAAATGTTTCCTTACAACTTAAATCTCATAAAACGACTAGAACTTAGGATTTCATAACCCTACTAAAATTCATTTTTGGCTAACTAAGCCAAATCTTACAAAAATAGGTTTGAAAGAAAGCTTGATGGATGAAGACTTTAAATCTTACCTTATAATTCACAATAAAGGCTTGCATTTCTTAAAGTTTCTCACTTTGCTTGGTTCTTGAAGATAAATGAAGACAAAGAGAATAGAGGAAGAAGACATGCATAGGATGAAAAAGAGGAGGGTGCAACAGACATGATATCATCAAACAATTAAGGGGTTTTAGCCTTTATTTGAACATTGGGTTAATTACTCATTTAGTCCTCCCACTTTCTAATTAAATTAGATCCAAGGCTTTGTAAACTAAGGAAAAATTATTCTAAGGCTCAATCTAATAAACCCAAAACTCCTAACCTGTATTTCGGGGCGTTACACCATATCTACCCACACTGAGAAAATTTTACCTTTAAATGGCCCTTTCAAGAAGCAACCATTGAATAAAATTATAGGTCTAAAAAACCTTTTAAACACTTCCTTTAGCATAAAAACACACATTATATTTAGGATTTTAGTTTCTATGGCCTTTCAACCATAAGATCAAATGTTCCACTTGGATCACTACTCCTCAAAGCAAAAACATAATCAAACAGTCTATTAAACTCGAGCACATCATTACCCTTGTTATTTTCTAAAGCCTATTTCCTAGCTTTTAAGCATGTGTTCTTAAGTAAGTCTCTACCAAGCCTTTGCATTTATACAATATTTAATTTGGGTACAATCCTAAACTTATAAAGAAAGTGTTTCCCTACCAACTTATAATTTGCTACTATGTTTTCAAAAGTCATAGAACACTTATGCTCAGTCACTCATGTTTGATCTTGTAATATCCATAAGATTAATCCTAATAATAATGTATAACAAAATGGCAACCAATTCCTTTACACGCAACCCTAATTTTCTCTTTTCTATTTGAAACAAACCTAAAATCAAAATTATTACCTACTACATAAGTATAAAGATCGTCCTTAAACTATTATTGAGATTCAAATATTATTCCCACATGGAAGCTAGGTTCAACAGTTGAAGCATAAAAAACACCTTACCACTCTTCTGAAAGCTACCAACATCTGAAGAGTCTTAAGTAATCAGCTTCCTCTCCACTATTTAAACCACCTAAGACTTCTTCATTTTCCTCAGAATAAACGTATATGTTAACCTCCGGTTCAACATCAACTCCTAAGTCTTCTAAACTGACAATTCTATTTTTTATTTTCCTTTTGACTACTCTTAATTACTTTTAATTGTAACTATCTTCATCATCATCATCAGATAATAAATTATCTCCATCTAGCTAATCTGACCCACTATAATTCCTATTTGTATCATTGAAGTCTTCATAAATGATCTCATCAACTACTACATTAGATCCACTAGCAACATTAAGACCACTGTCAGTATAAGACCCACTGGTAGTATTATGACCACTACCAGCATTAGGCTCACTGCTAGCATTTGACCCACTATCAGCATTCATTGCCTGAAATAAATACAAAACAGATAGTTTAACATATTATTAACATTAGTTAAAGTATATTACTTTATTAGTTTACTACTTTATTAGTTTAGTACTTGATTAGTTTACTACTTTATTAGTTTAGTACTTTATTAGTTTACTATTTTTCATGAAACAAAGTTAAAATGTATTACTTTATTACTTTACACTGTATTAGTTTACTACTTGATTAATTTAGTCTTATGCTATATTATTACTTTCAGACTTTATTGTTTTTCATTAAACATAGTTCAAGTTTTTATTGTATTACTAGTTTAATATTTTACTGTTAGTAGAATCTTAAAAACAACAATGTTAACAGAGCACTTATGTCCACAGAATCATTATGTTATCCAAGAGTAACAGTCTGATACTAAATTGGAATCTGAGAAAAAAGTAAAAGAAAGAATCAAATTCTTTAAAAATAAAAGAGAATTAAAGGAAATAAAATACTCTTTATATTTGATCCTGATATCAGAATTAATTGAGGCATGTCGCTAAACAGTTTTCTTAAGACAGATTTTTGGCCAGTCCTTAGTACTCAAGATCCTTTGGACGTCTATCTCCCAATATACAACAACTAGATGATCAGCTACAATAGCACAACAATAGAGATCACGAACTTTCCTTGCCTTCGACTATCACAAAAAATTAAGGAAAAATAATATTTTCTGAGAATGAGAAAAAC